GTTTGACTATTTTTGTTTGTTTTTGTGTGTGTCTGTGTTTGTCTGTGCCTCTACTTGCACGTGTGTGTGTGTGTGTGTGTTTGACTATTTTTGTTTGTTTGTGTCTCTGTGTATACTCATGGATGTTCATTGTGTGCGTGCGTGCGTGCATGCGTGCGTTGTGTGTCTGTCTGTCTGTGTGTCTGTCTGTCTGTGTCTATGTGTGTGTCTCTTTATGTGTGTGTGTCTCTGTGTGTGTGTGTCTCTGTGTGTGTGTGTCTCTGTGTCTATGTGTGTGTCTGTCTGTCTGTGTGTGTCTCTTTATGTGTCTATGTGTGTGTCTCTGTGTATGTGTGTGTCTCTTTATGTGTGTGTCTCTGTGTGTGTGAGCAGATTCTCCGTCCGGTCTCTCCCGGGAGATCACCAGTGCTCTGTCTGCCGTCCCAGGCTTCGAGATGGAGCCGTTCTGCTCGGAGGACCGGCTTCAGATGGAGCCACTAGCGCTGGAGGGTCTGATGCTAGCTGACGGAGACCTGCTGTTGGCGGACCCGGCGGTGGAGGACTCCTTCCGCTCAGACCACCTCAAATGACGTCCGAAAAACCAAAAAACTGCAGGACGTGAGTGTGTGAACGTCCGAACGAGACCAGCATGCGGCACTACGGGTCGAGCGCCGGCAGCTTCAGTCTCAGCCGCATGCTAACTAGCCCTTTAACCCTCTGCGCTTCTCAGACCATCCACTTCCTGTTACAAGCATCGCCGCATGATGACTGATGGCAGCGCCAGGAGCTGAACGTTTATCCCAGCATGCATTGGAGCACAGCAGGTGAATGCAGGACACACACACACACACTTACTGCTGAAGCCTTCGCCGTTTGGCTCGTGATCAAACACTGTGACACTTTCGCAACATGCAGCCAATCACGCGAGTCTGGGGTGGAGCCATCTGTCTGACTGACCAATGACAGAGAGAGGATTCTGTTTGTGTTCAGAATAGCGCACTGCAGTATACAGCACACGCAGAAACCACATCCCATAATGCACTGTGCGCCAGTTATGCTGGATTCACATCAAATGCAGATTATTTAATGAAGACAGCCCACACAGGGCATGTTTCATAGGCTATTTTGAAGAAGAACACGTTTTGTTTTCAGCTAGAAAGCAGTAAAAGAGGAGCGACGGTGTTCTGAGATATCCCGACTGCCAGTGTTGGGGTAACACATTACCAGCAGCGCGAGTATTACTTTAATAAGTAACGAGTATAGTAACTTTTACAAAATAAGTAATAATATTTGAGTGACTTTTTCAGCTTAATTAATTAGCTTTCAAAAATAAATTGCTGAATTAAAATGGAAGTGTTCACCATTAATCACACAGTCAATGTGAGAACAGGGTCATTATTTTGAACACATCGAAGAAAAGAAGAGGTGATTATAGTGTCAGTGGACAGGGATTTTAAACTTCATAATCAATCATCTGTATGTACAGCATGTACAGCTCTGGGGTCAGTTCTTCATACGTGGATTACTCAGTTAGCTACATTTAGTTATTGACGTTTTGACATGATCCAGGATCGTTTGGTTCTTCAAGCTCTTCTGAGAGTTGTTGTCAGAGCAGCAGTTCTGGTAGCTCAAACCTGCTCGGGAGATCAGACTCACCCTATATTAACAGGATTGGATCGGTGATACTGAAAGCATGTGCCGAATG